AGTTTGAGAAGGAATCAATCACGGGCCCATGCAAATGTATATGGACCGTTTCGGGAGGACAAAGGATTTCCTCCCTGTTACAGTAATCCTCGGGTCACATTCTTTTCGGGGCAAAGGGTCAGAGAGGAGAAACGGGAAGGGGAACCAAAGTACATTTCATTCCATTACATACATTTCATATATTCTATACATTTCATAAGGCAATCCCATCCCCATCCCCAGCGAAAGTTTATTAATAAAAATACTCAGTCACTTTATTATTGAAAGAAATTCATGGTCTCCTGGTGAAGGCACACGGAAGCGGAGGCTGCTTGCGAATCGGAGCAAGCCTGATCTGAGGGTTTGTGTCCAAAAATGCGGCAGAAAACAGTCCGGGATGTGGAGCAGAAAGTCAATAGGAGAGGGCAAATAAGAGAGTCCAAGGAAGGTTTCCAGGTTGTGATTGGTGGAGCAATGTCCTTTGGGAAACTACATTTCCCTGATCAGAGGCCGGGACCCATGCCTGGCCGCCTTCCCAGGACCCCTACGGGTGGCCGCAGTGGGTCCCTGGCTGTTGGATCCAAGCGGGAGCGAGCGCTGCCAAGAAGAAGCGAAAAGCCTGGCCAGTTTGACAATCAGCTGTTTCTCTGCAAGATAAAATACTTAAAACAAAACTAATTTTTCCCCGGGTGAAGGAGCCCAAAACGAGAAAAGGGAGATGGCAGTTAGTCTTAGAATTAGTTGTAGAAAAATATAAAATTGGAACGGCGGCGATCCGCCATTTTAAGTATTTTTGTGGATAAGGGGGTCTGAAATGGCGGTTTCCGTATCCACGGTCTAGGCGAACGCAGATTCGGGGTCCGGGGGGCCTATTGCAATGTTAATTTGTTTGAGTCAAGAAAGGATACAAAAGTAGCATGCGGAAAGATAAAAAGTTGCAAGTTTCAAGTACTTTTATTAGGGAAAGGATACAAAGTAAAGGGAAGGGGAAAGCAAGGTGAAACTGCAAGCATTCCTGGTTTTGAGCTAGCTGCTGGGGCACATTTCATCTGTTGGTCCCAAAAGCTTGGTCCAGGAACTGCGGAACTCTCCGCTGCAGCTCACACCAATGTGAAAGCGGGGCTCCCCGCTGCACTCGGGCTCACGTAGAGGTGGCACCTAACTCCAAAACTCCAGATGACCTCTCCCAGCGGTTTCATGTAGATGTTAAAAAGCATGGGAGACAGAATAGAGCCTTGCGGGACCCCACAGGTCAACAGCCAGGGATCCGAGCAGGCATCTCCCAGCTTCACCATCTGGGATCGACCCTCCAGGAAGGACCGGAGCCCCAACAGAACCGTGTCCCCGAGACCCATCCCAGAGAGTCATCCCAGAAGGATACCATGATCGATGGTATCGAAAGCCGCTGAGATGTCCAAGACAACCAACAAGGTCACACTCCCCCTGTCCAGCTCTCTACGGAGGTTATCCACCAAGGCGACCAAGTGTTGGTTTCTAATGTCTTTATGTTTGTGGGTAAACAGCATTTCTTGTTCTTTCTTTGCCAGTGTTGATGTAGAGATTGTCTGGTTTGCCTACTCTGGAACGTGCAACATATTATTGTCCTTCTTTAGGGGTCCCTTTCAAATCTATGATACTATCTCTCTCTGTGTGTGAATCATATAGATATCTATCTATATCTATGGCTGGATGGCTCTTTGTCAGGAGGGTTTTGATTACATTTTCTTGCCCTGGTGAAGAGAGTTGGACTGGGTAGCCTTAAATACTTTCTGTTGGTCATGGGGTCAGTGGTGGCCCTAGGTAATTTTCAACGGTAAGCAAACAGTATTTTGCACACACCCCTCCAACCAATCACTGATATATATTTTCTGTTTGTCGTGGGAGTTTTGTGTGCCATATTTGGTTCAATTCCATCATTGGTGGAGTTCTTAATTCTCTTTGATTGTAGGTGAACTATACATCCCAGTAACTACAAGTCGCATATGTCAAGGTCTATTTTCCTCCAAGAGCGCCTCAAGAGCGCCCCTGGGCAAAATCAACTCTACTGCAAATGTTTACTTTGCATAATGGGTTGAGCCACCCCTGCATGGGGGCTTTGTGTGGGAAGTTTGCCCCAATGCTGTCATTGCTGGGGTTCAGAATGCTCTTTGGTTGTAGGTGAACTATAAATCCCAGTAACTACAACTCCAGAATGTCAAGGTCTATTTYCYCCAAACTCCATCTGTGTTCATATTTGGGCATATGGAGTATTTGTGCCAAGTTTGGTTCAGATCCATCACTGTTTGAGTCCACAGTGCTCTCTGCATGTAGGTGAACCACAACTCCCAAACTGAAGGTCAATGCCACCAAACCTTTCTAGTGTTTTCTAATGGTTATGGGAGTCTTGTATGCCACGTTTTGGCTCAATTCCATCATTGGTGGAGTTGAAATTATCTTTAATTGTAGGTGAACTATAAATCCCAGCAACTACAACTCCCAAATGACAAAATCAGTTTTTTTGAGTGAAGGACATACATTGGATTGTTAGGTGTCTTGTGTCCAAATTTGGTGTCAATTCGTCCAGTGGTTTTTGAGTTCTGTTAATCCCACAAACAAACATTACATTTTTATTTATATAGATCGCGTATGCCATGAAGCCAGTGCCTTTGTTCATGTTCTGCTAATGGGCAGCAGTGAATGGAATGCAGTCCAGGAGTTTCTCTTTCTAGTTTTCCTTTCTTCAAGGAATATAGACTTAAACCACTTACTGGATGTTCATCAAGATCTAGAATTTGTGAACCTGACTCAGCACATAGAAGATGGCTTTGAAAGGCAGCAGATCACAGGAGCTGTCTTTGTAGACCTGTCAGCAGCTTATGATACTGTAAACCTCCGTCTACTCCTGAGTAAAATGTATAGTATCACAAAGGACGACCACCTCATCTGCCTCATAGGAAACCTGCTACAAAACAGGATCTTTTTTGTTGAGTTCCAGGGCCAGAGAAGCAGATGGCGGAAACAGAGGAACGGCCTGTCTCAGGGGAGTGTGCTTGCCCCATCCATGTTCAACATCTACACAAATGACCAGCCACTGCCAGAAGGGACAGAGAGTTTCATCTATGCTGACGATCATGCCATCACCGCTCAAGCAGGGAGCTTTGAGATGGGAGAACAGAAGCTCTCTGAAGCTCTAGGTGCTCTTACTGCCTATTACAGGGAAAACCAGCTGATCCCCAACCCATCTAAAACACAGACATGTGCCTTTCATCTCAAGAACAGAGAAGCATCCCGAGCTCTGAAGATCACCTGGGAAGGAATCCCACTGGAGCATTGCAGCGCACCCAAATACCTGGGAGTCACTCTGGACCATGCCCTGACCTACAAGAAGCTCTGCCTGAACATCAAGCAAAAAGTGGGTGCTAGAAACAATATCGTACGAAAGCAGACTGGCACAACCTGGGGATCACAACCAGACACAGTGAAGACATCTGCCCTTGCGCTATGCTACTCTGCTGCTGAGTATGCATGCCCCGTGTGGAACACATCTCACCACACTAAAACAGTGGATGTGGCTCTTAATGAGTCATGCACATTATCACGGGGTGTCTGCGCCCCACACCACTGGAGAAATTACACTGTTTAGCCGGTATTGCACCACCTGACATCTGCCGGGAAGAAGCAGCCAATAGTGAAAGGAGCAAGGCAGTGATATCTCCCTTAAAGGGCTGAGAATTGTGGTATATAAGCGCAGTAATAAATAAATAAATAAATAAATCTCCGGTGCACCCCCTGTTTGGGTATCAGCCAGCATGCCAACAACTTAAATCTAGAAATAGTTTTCTAAGACCTTCATAGACTCTCGCTGGAACTCCTCAGCAAGCGAGAGTCCAAAAGTGGCAGGCTCAAACCCAGAACCTCAACCAATGGCTGATACCAAATGAGAGACTCCCCCCTGGGCACACAGAAGACTGGGCAACTGGGAAGGCACTGAACAGACTGCGCTCTGGCCCCACGAGATGCAGAGCCAAACTTCAGAAATGGGGCGAGTGCGGAGAAGAGCAAACCACTGACCACCTGCTGCAATGCACTCTGAGCCCTGCCACATGCCCCATGGAGGACCTTCTTACAGCAACACCAGAGGCACTCCAAGTGGCCAGCTATTGGTCGAAAGACATTTAATAGAATACCAAGTCTGCAAATTTTGTGTTTTGTTTGTTTGTTTGTCTGTTTGTAATGCAATACAACTGTTTTGGTTAGCTCCTGACACAATAAATAAATAAGATCTAGAAGTCCTGTATCGCCTTACACAGCCCTTTCAACGTTGAGTGCAAGGGTCATAATATCCACATGATCAGCAAAGACATGCGTACTGCCAACCTGAGAACTGAGAATGCCCAGGGAAGTCCTGCTCCCCATGCTCTATTCTGCCTTGGTTAGACCATTTTACCTGGAATCCCACTGTGTCCAATTCTGGGCACCAACAATTGAAGGGAGGTGTTGACTCTAAGCTGGAAGGTGTCCAGAGGAGGGTGACTAAAATGATCAAGGGTCTGGAGAACAAGCCCTATGAGGAGTGGCTTAAAGGTCTGGGCATGTTTAGCCTGAAGAAAAGAAGGCTGAGAGGAGACATGATAGCCATGTCTAAATATGTGAGAGGAAGTCATTGGGAGGAGGAAGCAAGCTTGTTTTCTGCTGCCCTGGAGACAAGGATGCAATGGGACAATGGCTTCAAACTACAGGAAAGAAAGGAGATTCCACCTGAACATTAGGAAGAACTTCCTATCTGTGAGAGAGCTGTTCAGCAGTGGAACTCTCTGCCCTGGAGTGTGGTGGAGGCTCCATCTTTGGAGACTTTTAAACAGAGGCTGGATGGCCATCTGCTGGGGGTGCTTTGAATGCAATTGTCCTGCTTCTTGGCAGAATGGGGTTGGACTGGATGGCCCAGGAGGTCTCTTCCAACTCTTTGATTCTAGGATTCTATGAAAGGAAGAGACCCAGGGTGAGTTTTAAGGTACATTAAAAATGACAAGAAAAGAGGAGGAATGGGTCTCCCCATCTTGAAAATGTATTACGATGTCCATTGTATGACAGGATTGGTTAATATTGAGAAACAAAAGATGATTACACTGAGAAGGAGAAGGTTTGAAATTTGGGATTCAAGCCTATCTTTAGTATAACAAGTAACTGCTGTTTGTATTGTTGTGGTTTGTATTTATTTACCAATTTTTATTTTTTTAAGGGATTCATAATAAAAGCCGATTCAACCTTGAACAATCTCTTCCTAAGGAGATCATTCTGGTTCATAGAGGGAGATACGTTTGGACAGGTAAGTTGGACCTATTGGATCACTGCTGTGGAAGGGTTGTTGCTACTACTACTACTACTATTTTATTTATTCCCCACCTCTCCTCATGGCTGAAGGCAGGTTACAACATAACTAAAACACGTAAGAATAGTGCCCAGGTGTGGAAGTGAGCATGCTTTGCCATGGAGGCCTACACATCCTGCGTTTCCATGGTTTTGTAAGCATGAACCTGTAGTCAGGCAAAGCTAGTCATAGCCTGTCTGTAAATGTTGACACACACTCACTATTGTCCACATCTTGAAAATAGTTTCAAGATTCTTGAGGTCACCTTCTAGTAAGATCAGCTCTGTCTCTTTTTTCATTGACTTATTCTTCAGGCTTCCAACGGGAGGAATCAGGACTCTGGATGATCCTTGTTGGAAAGACCGGAGGTGGGAAGAGTGCTACAGGAAACACCATTCTTGGCCAAAAGACATTTTAGGCCTGTTTGATCAAGAAAAAATTTGTTTCTAAAATCGATTTGTAATTGGGGTGTTTTTTTGTTTCGATATTTAAAATATTTTGTTATTTACGAAATTTTGTAAATATTAACGAATTTTTAGAATATTTTTTGTATTTTTTAATATTAAAATAATATTAAAAAATATTTTAAAATGGAAAATTAACCAAAAAATGGCCCAAATGTTGACCAAACACAGGCAGGAGACAGCAAATGAGAGAAAACACCAACAGAAGAGTCTTTTCTTTTTTAGAATATTTTTAAAGAATAATATTAAAATAATATTAAAAATAATATTAAAATAATATTAAAAAATATTTTTAAATGGAAAATTAACCAAAAAATGGCCCAAATGTTGACCAAACACAGGCAGGAGACAGCAAATGAGAGAAAACACCAACAGAAGAGTCTTTTCTTTTTTAGAATATTTTTTAAGAATAATATTAAAATAATATTAAAAAATAATATTAAAATAATATTAAAAAATTTTTTTAATGGAAAATTAACCAAAAAATGGCCCAAATGTGGACCAAACACAGGCAGGAGACAGCAAATGAGAGCACACACCAACAGAAGAGTCTTTTCTTTTTTAGAATATTTTTTAAGAATAATATTAAAATAATATTAAAAAATAATAATAATATTAAAAAATAATATTAAAATAATATTAAAAAATATTTTAAAATGGAAAATTAACCAAAAAATGGCCCAAATGTGGACCAAACACAGGCGGGAGACAGCAAATGAAGCAAGCAGCACTCAAAGCAGCAAGGAATGAATCCAATCCAGTTGCTAGCCATTAGCCAAGCCAAACCAATGCAAACTCCCTCGCCCTCTGCAGCAATGAGCTACGGCCGCGCGGAGCCGCTTTGAAAGGGCTCGCCGGCCAATCAAAAACAAACAGCCACGGACCCACAGTGCACTGCTTGGGAGCGCCTGATTGGCTCCCAGGCACCAGTACTCCAGCAGCCTCCACCCCATTAACGAAACCAGCGGAAGCTCGTTAAATCTATGGGGGCTGCCGGTTCGATATTTTAAAACCCTTCCGGGTTTGGAAAACTGTTTTGATATCGCTTCAAAAATGCCAAAAATAACGAATTAATAACGAATTAACGAATTAACGAACGAAACCGGACAGGCCTAATTTCAGTCTGTTGCGGGATTGAGGACAACCACAACCAGCTGCCAGTGAGAGACAGGAAGATGGAGGGATTTAGAAGTATTCGTGATCGACACTCCAGACCTTTTTGACCCCTCCAGCTGGATACCGCTGCCAGAGATCAGGCGTTGCATTGATCTCTCCAGGCCCGGCCCTCACGCCTCGGTGTTTGTGACCCAGGTGTGCCGCTTCACTTCAGAAGACGAGGCAGCAGTCAATCAAATCCGGGTTGTGTTTGGCAAAGAGGCCTCCAGGCACATGGTCATCCTCTTCACTCTCAAGGAGGACTTAGATGGAGATACCTTGGAGGAATACGTGTGGGGCTCAGGCAATCAGGCTCTCGAGGGGTTAATTCAGAAGTGTGGGAGGCGTGTGTGTGCTTTCAATAACAGGGCAACTGGGGAGGAACGGGAGAGGCAGGTCTCTGAGCTGATGGAGATAGTCCAGCGAATGGTGGAGGTGAATGGAGGGAGGCATTTCTCCAATAGGCTCTACATGGAGATGAAAAGATGCAAGCATTCATGGCAGACAGGCATGTAGCTGGGGGCGGGGGGGCTTGGAGGCTTCAGCCTCCCCCCCCCCCCAAATTCTCATGGTGGTCCGTGAGAAGGCCTTTCTGGTGCATTATTTAAACTGTTATGTTTATTCATATCATGATCTGATCCAACATACTCAATATATCCTATATGCATGGGGGTATTGGGGTAACGATACAAAAGGTTTGATAGAGTAGACCCTCTTTTGCTCAGACTCAGCCCCCCCCCCCCCCCCGGAATCAAAATCCTGGCTATGGGCCTGATGGCAGAGAATAGAGGCACCAGGCCGAAGCCAAGGGGAGGTCGGAGTTTTGTAGATTTCATTAAAAAGTGTTTCTGGATAAGCTGTTGGCTGGTGTCTCCTATTTGTTTAGCTATTAACTTCATGAAATTAGTTCAAAGACAGCTCCATCTCTTTTAAGTCAGTTCTTTCTCTGATTTATCTGCAGGATAGGTTTTATGCAGTTTAGCACCCCTTTAAATGTCATGTCTCTGAATTAAAGAAGGAAATAAAAGAAGAATTGGGAGCGATGAGAAGAGACGCCGAGATAATGAAAGAAGAGATAAAGCAATTGCAGACAAAGAATAAAGAAGATGAAGAAAGACAAACCTCGACCCACACGAGATTGAAGATGCTAGAGATACTAAATCAAAAACTGATGGCCAGACAAGAGAACCTGGAGACGCAGGAAACAGAATACCAATTACGACTAAGAAACATAAAAGAGGAAGAAGACGAAGACATAAGAGAAAAAGCCACAGAGATATTAGCAGAATTACTACAATGTACAACACAATATATGGAGGAACAAATGGACAGAGTTTTCAGAGTGAACACGAATTTTGCAAGAAAAAACAAGACAGACCGTGACGTGATAGCACAATTTACAAGAAAGGTGACACGAGATGAAATTCTGAAAATAAGCAACAAAAGAGTAATCTGCTATAAAGACAAATGAGTGGTGATATTGAAGGAATTCCCGGGATCAATCATCAACAATAGAAGAAAATATGCTTTTCTCACGGAAGAATTGAAAAAACAAGAGATTAGATTTCGATGGGAAAAAGATGAAGGCCTGATGGCAACACATGAGGGACAGAGACATTGGATAAAGACAGTGGAAAAAGCCAGAAGATTCTATAAAGAAATAGTGAAAGAAGGGGAAGAGGAGAAGGATGAAGACATAAGCCAGAAGGGAAGACAATCAAAAAGACAAAATACATTACTGATTAGAAGAGACGCACCGGACCCCAGATACCAAAACCAAGAAAGGAAGAACCTAAAAGAAAGTACAGAACCCAGACCAGAAGTTGACCCAAAAGACAGGGAGGAAGGAGAAGTGGAGGAAGAAGGACAAGGGCAAAAAGAACAGTAGTAAAGAACAAAGACAAGGAAACAAGCTTTTTGTGTTTCCACTTCCTAAACGATAAATGGACCTAAAGATCTATTGTAACAATATTAATGGTTTAAATTCTGCTAATAAAAGAAATAAAGTTTTTAATAATATATAAAAAAGAAACTGTCATGTAGTCGCTCTGCAAGAGACACATATAGCACACAAACATACTGCACATCTAGTAAATAAAAATCTAGGGAAAATTTATTATGCATCATCACATGAAAAGAAAAGAGGGGTGGTGACATATATAAAAGAGAACATAAAGGCTGAACTGGCCTTCAAAGATCATGATGGATGAATACTAGGGGTAAATATAACATGGCAAAATTCCAAAATATTAATTTGCAACGTTTATGCGCCTAATGAAACAAACGCCACATTTGTAAAGGTCCTAGAGGAATATATAATAAAACAAGAATTTGATAAAATAATTATTATGGGAGACTTCAACAGCGTTCTGGACGGTAAGAAAGATAGATCACCGGGAAATAAACACACAAAGATTGGAGAGAGAAAAAGGGTAGGACTGATCCCAAAATCATTAATAAGAGTACTGATAGAGATGAATACAGAGGACGTTTGGAGACAAAGAAATGAGAATGTCCACGACTACACATACTTCTTGGCCAGACACAAGTCCTGGTCGAGGATAGATATGATCTGGGCCTCGTCATCCCTTATACCTAAAGTCAAAAAGATAAAAATTCTTCCGAGAGCAGACTCAGACCACTGCCCGCTGGAGATGGTAATTAAAGGGGGGGAAAAACAATGGAAATGGAAATTAGATGAATATCTATTACTAAAAGAGGATGACATCGAAAGAAATAGAAGACTCCTGAAAGAATATTTTGAGAGTAACGACACGGAAGATATAAAAATCTTTACCTTATGGGAAGCCAGCAAAGTAGTTATGCATGGCCATCTCATTCAACAAAAGGCTTGGAGAAAAAAAGAAAAGACACAAAAAATGAAAGAAATAGGAGAGAAAATTGACAAAGAGGAAAGAAATCTAAAAAATGACCCAAAAAACAGGGAGACAATGAATAACTTAGTAAAACTACAAAAAGAAAGGGAATTTCTAGAATTAGAAGAAAGAGCAAGACAACTGAATTTCATAAAAGCAGAGTATTTTCAAAACGCAAATAAGCCTGGGGCCTGGCTGGCAAGGAAACTCAGAAAGAAGAAAGAAGCAAGCATTATAACAAAGATTAAATCGGGAGGAAATACATATACGGAAGAAACAGGAATAAAAACTCAATTTGAAAAATATTACAGAACATTATATCGAGATGAACAAATAAAAAATGAGGGTATTATGAAATATTTAGAAAAGAAGAAAATTCAAAAAATATCGGAAGAGGAGAGAGAGGAACTGAATAAAGAAATAACAGAAAAAGAGATCATTACGGCAATAAAAAAATTGAAAATGAATAAAGCCCCTGGACCCGACGGATACACGGCAGTATTTTATAAGAAGTTACAAACAGAACTAACACCATATCTAAAAAGAGTAATGAACGAAATACGAGAGAAACAGGAAATCCCGGCAACATGGAAACAAGCTAACATCTGCGTAATTCCAAAACAAAATAAAAATCCAGAAAAAATAGAAAATTACAGACCGATATCTTTACTCAATTTGGATTATAAATTATTCAGCACCATTCTGGCAGAAAGGTTTAAAAAATTCCTGATAAATTGGATAAAAGAAGAACAAGCAGGGTTTCTACCCGGCAGAAACCAAAGTGAGAATGTAAGAACAATAATCGACTTAATAGAATATTACGACAAAAAAATACAAAATGAGGTAATGTTCTTAGCTATAGACGCAGAAAAAGCGTTTGATAAAATCAATTGGAATTTTTTCAAACTACTAATCGGCGAGATGGACATGGGTTATCATTTTCGAAATTCGATAGAGGCAATATATAAAACACAAAATGCAAAAATTATAATTAATGGACAAGAGACCAAAAAAATCGATATAAGAAAAGGGACAAGACAAGGGTGCCCATTGTCACCACTAATATTTCTATTAAGTATGGAAATCCTCTTAAACAGTATCAGAGAGGATCCAGAATTGAAAGGGGCAAGAATAAATGGACATTCTTATAAATGCTGCGCATTTGCGGACGATATTATTTGTATTATTGAGGAACCAAACAAAAACTTGAATAAATGGATGGAGACGATCAACGAATTTGGAAAGGTGGCAGGTTTTAACTTAAATTTAGAAAAGACAGAAGCAATAACCAAAAATATAACAAAAAAAAACAGAACAGATCAAAGAACTATGGAAAATAAAAATAGTACCTAAGATAAAGTATTTAGGAATCACTATCACACCAAAAAATTCACAACTACTAGAAAACAACTATATGAAAACCTGGAAAGAAATAAAACATGACTTAGAAAATTGGAAACATTTAAAGATATCCCTCCTAGGAAGAATCTCATGTATAAAAATGAACGTGCTGCTGAGAATGTTATTTCTATTTCAAAATCTTCCAATTATCAGGAACCAAAAAGGAATAAAAGAATGGAATAAAGACATAAAAAAATGTATTTGGCAAAGAAAAAAACCCAGGATAAACTTCAAAAATTTAACAGATGATAAAGAAAGAGGCGGTCTAGCACTACCAGACTTAGGAATTTACGCGGAAGCATGTTCCCTAACATGGATCACAGAGTGGATACAATTGAAAAAGGAAAAAATACTGAACCTAGAAAGTTTTGACCTTCGTAGAGGCTGGCATGCGTACATTTGGTACGGGAAAACAAAAATAGAGAAAAATTTTGGTAATCACTTTCTCAGAGCCTCAATTATAAAAACATGGAATAAATATAAGAAAAGAATATACAATAAGACACCAAAGTGGGTATCTCCATTAGAATCCTGCCAAAGAAAAGAACTAGGCTGGACCAAATGGCAAATTACAAAGAGTTAATAAAAGAGGTAAATAAAGAAATACATTTGAAACCCCTAAAGGAACTAAAAACAACATACACAAATATGACTTGGCTGCAATATAGGCAGTTACAAGAATATTTTGGGAATGACAAAAAAGTGGGATTCGAGGCAAAAGAAAATATCTGGGACAGAATTTGGGATACACAAAAGAAAAAAAATTCCAAAATATATAGAGAATTACTGAAATGGAGCACAGAGGAGGAGGGGGTGAAAGAGTGTATGGTGAAATGGGCCAGAAACATTGGCAGAACAATAGGATTGGAGGAATGGGAAGAAATTTGGAAGAAAAAAATTAAGTACTTAAAAGCATACGACATGCAGGAAAACTGGGCAAAATTATTCTATAGATGGTATATGACACCATACAAATTAAGTAAATGTTCTAAAAACTTGAATCCAAAATGCTGGAAATGCGATATGGTAGATGGTACATTCTACCACATGTGGTGGCAGTGCAAAAAAGCGAAGGAATATTGGAAGGGAATTCATAGTATATTACAAAAAATTCTGAAGATTCAAATCCCCCTAAAACCGGAAATCTTTTTGTTGGGAATTACTAAGACAAAAATGGAAAAAAATAAAGACAAATTGCTATTTCTCACCACTACAGCGGCGAGAATCTGTTATGCCAAACTATGGAGGAAGAACGAAACACCTAAAATAGAGGACTGGAGAAAAAAAACTCTTAGACGTGAGGAACATGGACAGACTAAGTTATCTGATGCAGAGGAGCAAAGGGACAGCGGAGACAGAGACTGACTGGTCAATCTTTGAAGAATATCTCAAATAATAAAATACGAAAAGAAATAAATAAAGAAGCTTGTAAAGAAATAAAGAAAGAAGGGTCAAGAACGGGACCTAAATAAGCTTAAACAACACTATAACACAAGCAAATAAACAAACTCTTTTCTCAAAACATTTATTAAAAACAGAACAGAACAAACCAAACTGGCCGAAGAAGAATCTCCTTAAGGAGAAACAGGACAAAAAGACGGAAAGGACTGAAAGAAGGAAGGAAAAGGAAAAGACCATCCTCGAAGAATCCTGGAAGTCAACACGAAATCTTCTTTTTCTTTTAAACTCGTATTTCTCTCTTTTTAATCCTATACCCTACTTCTCTATACCCCACTGATGCCCCCCTCTTCTACAAACACTCCCCTCCTTCTCCCCGATACCCTATTCTTTTCCCTTTTCCCACCTTATACCCTTTCAAAAAACTTTGTTTTTAAGCTATTGTGTAATATGAAAACTCAATAAAGAATTATTTTTAAAAAAATGTCATGTCTCAATGCTATGAAATCTTGTGATTTGTAGTTGAGTGAGATTCCAGCAATGTTTTACCAAGAAGGTGAAAGCCTCATCAGTCTTGTTGGAATAAGGGCAGTCAACTGCATGCCATGGGTATTAGGTTCCTTTAGGAATGTTCATTCTGTTTCGTTTCGTTTCGTTCTTGATTCCATATTTTATGCTTCATCTTTTTTGTATGCCCCTCAATCCTTTGAGGTTTTGAAGGGAAGAGCATCTTCCCTCTTTTATCCTGATAAATGTTTCTGCTTCTTTCAAAATTCCACTGTTCAGAAGCCACTGGAGGCACCGGGAGAACCCAGCAGCAACTGTACCCTAAACTATATCATAACTAAACCTGATATCGAGGCCGCTTTTGGAAGGATCTCCTCAGCTGAGGAGATCCCGAGGACCGCACCAAAGAGGGTCCTTGGACCTTGGTGAGGGCAGCGAAGCCAATTCCAGCAGCGAAAATATTAAAAATAATAAATCCCCACCAAAGCGGAAGAAAATGGCGACCGAGGCTTTTTATTAGCGATTCAGCTGAGATCGGATGCATTGCAGGGATAGTTCCACTACAAGCATACCAGTACAGAGTTTACAGGCATTTTTATAGGCATTTTACAGAAAAACATTTCAAATTTCCCGCCCTTTCTTCCCCGCCCGGCTTTCTGCTGATTGGTTGACAGCCTGAACAGCTGGGAGGAGGCTTGGTGGCCCGCCTCGCTCTGGGCCAATCAGCAGGCTTCCCCGCCTCTGGGGAGCCAATCAGCGCTCTTCTCTCGCCTCCGAGGATGGACGAATCAGGAGAGAGAAGGCGGGATGATTGTTGACAATGGGGAAAATGATGGGATTATCGCTAGCCGGCCAGCTGGAATTTGAGGCATTGTTTTGACCGGCAAAGCTTAATTATTTTAAGAAAGGTTTTCCTGTTTCCAATCTGATAAGGTGTGCCTCTTTTTTTAAAAAAATAAATTTTTATTGGTTTGTGGTGCATACAGAAAACAAAACCGACACCAAAGGAAAACCGAAATAAGTAAAAAGTAAAAAAGAAAGAGAAAAAAACAGAAAAAAAAGAAAAAAAGAAATACAAAAGAGTATGCCAGTTAGCAGAATGGTATACAGTCAGCGCTCATTAAACATATAAAAAATCAACTTTGACTGTACAGTTATAATACATTAACATTTATTGTCCCTCTAACCCCACACCCGTGAACCCAACCCCTGTGACCTCCGACACCACTCCGTATGGATCACATAACTAACCCGCAACTACCCACGTATCTTCTTTCACTGAATCCCCTTTATGGCAATCTTCAAATCTACTTTTGTCTTCTTTTCGAGATATCCAATTGCCAACCACCATTTTTCAACAAATTCTTCATTATTTCCTCCTCTGCTGCTATTTGTCAGTTTGGCCATTTGGATATAGTCTACTAATTTATCTCTCCAATCCTTAATATTTAACTCTTTTTCCCCCTTCCACGATTTAGCTATTATTAGTCTTGCAGCAACAAAACAATACTGACAAATTTCTTCATCTCCTGTGCTAATACGCCTCCTAAATATTCCTAATAAGCACATTTCTGGGTTTTTCTTGATTTTTTTGCTGATCATTTTGTTTGTTTCTTTCATCACTTTTTTCCAGAATTCTTTAACTATGTTACAGGTCCACCATACGTGGAAAAAAGATCCCTTCACCATTTTGCATCTCCAGCAAGCCCCTTGTCCTGTTTTCTCTATTTTAGCTAGAAACTCTGGGGTTATATAGGTTCTGCAAAACATTTTAAACATATTTTCTCTAATTGAGCTGGCCACTCAGAATCTAAAGCCCTTATTCCAAAGACATTCCCACTCTTCCAGATCGATATTTCTGCCAACATCTTGGGCCCATGTGATCATAACGGATTTTATTTGGTTGTCTACTAAGTTATATTCTAAAATGTATTTGTAAAGTCTGGATATTAGGCCTTTGTTGCCCTTCTCGAAAATACTTTCTAACTCCGATTTATTAGAGGCAAATCCTACTTTTGCATCCTTCCTAAATCTGTCGTGTAGCTGGAAAAAACTGAACCAATCTTTTAACCCAGATTCTTCTCTGCTTTTAAGTATCCATTGTCCTTTCTCATTGACCAAATAATCCTTGTATGTGCCGGAGTCAGCATGTGTGGCCGGTCTCTGGACTGCTTCCAATGGGCACAGCCATAGGGGTTTTTTTGGCTCCATACCCTTCTTATAACTTTTACATGTTGCTAAAAGGCTGGCTCTTATTACATGCCCGTTGAATTCTTTGTTCACCCTGTCCTTATAATCCCATNACCAAATAATCCTTGTATGTGCCGGAGTCAGCATGTGTGGCCGGTCTCTGGACTGCTTCCAATGGGCACAGCGATAGGGGGTTTTTTGGCTACATACCCTTCTTATATCTTTTCCATGTTGCTAAAAGGCTGGCTCTTATTACGTGCCCGTTGAATTCTTTGTTCACCCTGTCCTTATAATCCCATAAATAGGCGTGCCATCCGTATCTTAAATTATGGCCCTCTAACTTAAGCAACTCCTTATTGTCCATTTTAATCCATTCCTTTAGCCAGCTGAAATTTGCGGCTTCATAGTAGTACCTGAGATCTGGCAATGCCAGGCCCCCTCTGTTTTTCCCATCAATAAGGTTCCTATAGGCAATTCTCGCTTTTTTCCCTTTCCAAATGAATTTGACCAGATCTCGTTTCCATATTCCGAACACCTTTACTCCCTTAATAATTGGTAGGTTTTGAAACAAAAACAGCATTTTGGGCAATACTATCATTTTTATCACTGCTATCCTCCCTAACCAGGTGAGTTGAAGTCTTTGCCAATTTTCCAAATATTTTTTTTCATTACAGCAATCTGTGCTCCAAGTACTGCACCTGAGAGGCTAAGCAGAATTGAGCAGACTGGCTTTTAGAATGGTTCATACGCTCACTAAAGATATAGTCATGATACAATTTGAACTTAGGTTCTGTTTAAATTATAATTCTAGCCCAGGACAGATATAGGAAGAAGTTGCTCAATTTCAGAGCTTGGAAATATTATGCTTTTGAACAAAAAATCCAGAATCGCTAGCATCCTGAATTATAAGCCAGAACAGTAAGTCTCCAAGCTCTGATCCATTTTGACTCCCAGCTATGTTAGCCTATGCTGACCCAAGCTTACAGCTACACACAGAGTTCAGTATGGGCAAGCTTTCGACATGTCAGTATAAAGCATTATATTTTAGCCTTTGTTAAGGCATGCCAGAAGACAGTACTGCTCTGTACAAGGGAGCTCAAATTATTATCACCATCCGTCATCATTTATGGCTGAAGTTACAAAAAAAATATATATACACATCTAGGGAAAAGTTTATGAATCAGTCCTGACTCACAAAATGTATTTTATGTGTCACCAAAAAAAAAGGAAATCCTTGAGGTGTGTTCAATCTGCCCCCCTAAATGCACTTTTCCTCTCAGTTATAAATCAGCTTTGATCTTTTAAAAATGGTATTAGGAAAGAATCAAATGACTCATCTAAACTCATGTATATTTGGAGATGTGTGGGGGAAGCAGTTGTAGTTTTATCTGAAAAACTTTGGGGTGCTTTATGGCTCATAGTGTCCTGTTGAATCACAAATCAATTATGCAAGTTTTAATGCTGATGTTCTGCCTATTAGGAAGCTACTAGATTCTTAGTTATTAATTCCCATCTCCCATATGGCATGAGGTTCTGGCTTCAGGCTTTTTGTTTCAAATATACCCCTTTCCTATTCCCTCCCTGCTCTCTGTCTGTCAACTCTCCTATAGAACAGAACAACTGTGATGTGCCTCTCAAAACAGACAGCTCTGCCATTCTCCTTGCACCCATCTGGTCATTCTTTGGTCTTTCAGCTGTTGGCAACATATGCACCCTATTATTTTGACAAGTGGGGCCCCAAACAACAAACAAAGAAGACTGCAATGAATCATGGTTTCCCTTCCTCACTTACTTAAATCAATAAAATAACACCAGCATCTAATGCAATGTGTGCAAGGTTCATGCGGAAAAGAGAAGCTCATGGAAAAATTATTTTGCCATTGGTCCCCTACCTAAGCAATGTAGCAAAGGTACCATACTTCAAATGGGATTAAGCCCCAGAAACATGGCAGTGTATCGGAAAAATTGTCATTAATAATAATAATAATAATAATAATAATCCTCTCCTTTTGGCTCAAAGGAGGACATAACATCTATAAAATTACATATTAAAACATAGTTAAAATGCAACCATAAATGTATATATTAAAACATTCCTATAATAAAATGCATGAGACCAATGTTAAAAAATAGAATGTGATTTAAAGTCATGGTTAACGCTGCCTGGGTAGGCCTGCTGAAAGAGATAAGTCTTCAGGTGTGTTTTAAATTGCAACAGCTCGTTTAGCTGTCAGAGATCATTCCACAGTCTTGAGATGGTCAATGAAAAA